GAGCACCCATGTGACACCTCTCCTGCGCGGGCTGCACTGGTTGCCTGTGGCCTTCCGGGTGCGCTTCAAGGTGTTGGTGACCATCTTTAGAGCGCTCCATGGCAGTGGACCAGGTTATCTGCAGGACCGCCTTCTGCCACATACCTCCCTTCGACCAGTCCGCTCCCACAGATTAGGCCTCCTCAGGGTGCCGTCAGCCAGACAATGCCGGCTGGCGACCCCCAGGGGGAGAGCCTTCTCTGTGGCAGCTCCTACCCTATGGAATGAGCTGCCCCCTGACCTCCGTACAATGGGGGACATACGCCTCTTCCGCCGAGCCCTAAAGACCTATCTGTTCCAAGAGGCCGGTCTGGCATAAATCTGAAACTCTACAATTTTAAATTGGGTATAATTTTATATTATTATAGTGGGTTCTAGGACAGGACAAATAATTTAATTAGTTTTGAATATTTTTAAATATTATGGTATTGCTGTTTTATTAATGTGCCTGTTCACCGCCCTGAGTCCCGCAAGGGAGAAGGGCGGTATATAAATCAAATAAAGTTGAATTTGAATTTGATAGATAGATAGATAGATAGATAGATAGATAGATAGATAGATAGATAGATAGATAGATAGATAGATAGATAGATAGATAGATAGACAGATAGACAGAAAGACAGATAGATAGACAGAAAGACAGATAGATAGATAGATATAGATAGATAGATAGATAGATAGATAGATAGATAGATAGATAGATAGACAGAAAGACAGATAGACAGAAAGACAGATAGATAGATAGATAGATAGATAGATAGATAGATAGATAGATAGATAGATAGATAGATAGATAGATAGATAGATAGATAGATAGATAGATAGATAGATAATTGCAAGGACCAGTCATAATTCCTTTTTTTTTTAATGCGGCTGTGACTTCGAACAGTCGCTAAACGAGGACAATTTTAAGTCGAGGACTACCTGTACATCTTGGCCCCCTTTTTTAAGATGCTTGATAAGCAACATTGCCATAATGCACTAATCTTTCCTCGGGGACCTCCTCTGCCCACCCCCTCCCCACCTCCCACTCTCCCCCACCCGGTGAGGAGGGCAGGCGGGCCCTGCTCACTCGTCATGTTCTTCTCCACGTTCTTCTCCACGGCTTTGAGCTCGGCTTTGGCTACGCCAACTTGGTTCTGATTGGAGTCCTGGAGAGTGGCGATGATCCGCTGTGGGATGGAAGCAACGGGGTGCAATTAACCAAGGGGAAGACAAGTTGCCTCCGGAAGCTGCGGGCGCTACATCCCTGGAGGTTTGCAAGAGACTGGACAGCCACCTGTCTGGATGGTGTAGGCCAGCGGTCGGCAACCTTGGCCCTTTTATGACTGGTGGACTTCAACTCCCAGAATTCCTGAGCCACCATGGAGGAACTATGGCCCCCTCATGACTGGTGGACTTCAACTCCCAGAATTCCTGAGCCAGCATGGGGGGAACTATGGCCCCCTCATGACTCGTGGACTTCAACTCCCAGAATTCCTGAGCCAGCATGGCTCAGCTCGGAAACCTCTCCCTTTCCCCTCAGCGTGGCTGGCTGAGGAATTCTGGGAGTTGAAGTCCACAAGTCATAAAAGAGCCAAGTTGGAAGACCCCTGGTTTAGCCATATGCAGCGTTGCTCAGCCTTGTCCAAGAGGGGTGGACTTCAACTCCCAGAATTCCCCAGCCAGCAAAGCAAAATTGGCTGGGGAATTCTGGGAGTTGAAGTCCATAAGTCATAAAAAGGCCACGTTGGAAGACTCCTGCTATATCTTTTCAGACAAATGGCTGCCTTTGCTGAACAAACAGACCAACCGACCGTTCAGGTGGGCGCCAAGCCCACCTGCTAAGGGGAGGTTGCCCTCTGCCTTGCTCTCTGCGGTGAAGGGCCCGACTGCAGGTGGGCTCTCCATGCCCCAAAGCCCGGCTCTGCTATTCCGACCTGCCCCCCCCCCCCGGCGGCCTTACGTACCCCAAACATGTCGTATTGCTGCAGGAGGGTTCTGGCTTGGCTGGCCGAATCGGCTTCCGTCTCCTGGATCTTCTCCATCAGGTCCTTATTCTTCTCCAGTAGCACGGAGGAATGGTACCGCAGTTCTTCCAGGCTGGTCATCTTGCTCTTAGAAAGCCGCTAAGGGGGGGGGAAGGTTGCAACAGGGGTTCTCGGTCTCTGCCCCTTTAAAAACGCATGGATTTCAACTCCCAGAATTCTGGGAATGGCAATCCAGACCCCTTAAAGTTGTCCAGGTTAAGGAAGACTGGATGACCAAACGGCTCCACTCCATCCTGATTGGCAATCAGAGGGAAGGAGAGCCCAGTCCTAGAATGGTGCAATCCCACCTTCCTTCCTTCTTCCCTCCTCCCTCACTCTCCCTTTCCTTCCTTCCTTCCTTCCTTTTTTCCTTCCTTTTTTCCTTCCAGATCAACGTTCCTACCTAGCTTCCTCCTTCCTTCCTTCCTTTCAAATCAACCTTCCTCCCTCCCTCCTTTTCTTCCTTCTCCCCTCCTCCCTCCCCCTTCCTTCTTTCCTTCCTTCCTTTCCTTCCAGATCAACCTTCCTACCTAGCTTCCTTCCTTCCTTCTTTCCTTCCAGATCAACCTTCCTACCTAGCTTCCTCCTTCCTTCCTTCCTTCCTTCCTTCCTTCCTTCCTTCCTTCCTTCCCTTTCCTTCTTTTCTTCCAGATCAACCTTCCTACCTAGCTTCCTCCCTTCCTTCTTCTTTTCTTCCTTCTCCCCTCCCCCTCCCTCCCTCCTTCCTCCCTCCCTCCTCCCCCTTTCCTTCCTTCCTCCTTCCCTCTCTCCCTCCCTCCCTCCTCCCTCCTTCCTTCCTCAAGATCAACCTTCCTTTTTTCCTCCCTCCCTCTCCCATCTTTCTAAACCTGCCCATCTCAGCCAAGTGGTTCTGAGTGGCTTACAATTCTAAACTCTCTGTTTCTCCAGGTGTTAACACTTTGCACCTTCCTTTCAGAACATAAGGGGGTCCAATCCCCAAATCTGAGGTTCTGCTCTCAAACTCCAGGGGAACACCATGTGAATCTGGACTCTCCCCCCCCCCCCAGCAGCCATCAGTGGGGCCCATGTGAGACACCCCCAGCCCTGTTTCCAGGGGCTCTTCCCTTCCGGTACCTGCAGGATTTTGATGTTGGCCTTGGCCATCTCCTCGGTCAGGGCTTGGTGCCAGCCCACCTTGTGCCTCATGGAGGGGGTGGCTCTCAAGGCCAGGGCCCGGGCCTTGCGGTCCTCTAGGAACAGAAGAGAAAGGGGGGGGGGG